GCTGTCTGCTTGGGTTCCAGAGAAAGGGGGGTGGAGGCTGGAAGGCTGGGGAGAGAAGCTTGGAGGATGGCCCTCATGTGCCCCTGAGTTCTGAAAGGAAGAAGCAATGCGTTCATTGGTCACCAGCAGCATACTGGACAACATTTGCTGAGACTCCTGGTCCCTGCCCTGCTGTTTTAGCTTTTCAAACCTCCCTTAATCCCACGATCGATGTCTCAAATCTGGCTTTGTGCACATCACCTCCTGCTCAAAAACTTTCCTTGCCTCCCCTGCATCCACCGTGTAGGGTCTCCACCCGAAACCAAGTCAGGTACTATTTCTTTCAAAAGCCTGTATTCCAGTAACTGCCACGGACTTCCCTCTGTGTGCCCTGTGCATGGTACCTCCCTACCTTTTCCTACATGGAATGTTCTTTTCCCAACTTTCCTTTTTAGTTTAAAAAAATTTTTAAAGGTATTCATTCTCAAAAATGATTTTTTGAGAAAGAGAGAGACAGAGCGTGAGTGGCAGAGAAAGAGAGAGACACAGAATCCACAGCAAGCTTCAGGCTATGAGCTGTCAGCACAGAGCGCAATGCAGGGCTCGAACCCACGGACTGTGAGATCGTGACCTGAGCCAAAGTTGGACGCTTAACCGACTGAGCCACCCAGGCGCCCCCAACTTTCCTTTTTTAAGTCTACACTTCTCATTGAGTCCAACCCCTTTGCAAAAACTTTCCTGGACCTTTCTAGCCCTTCGTGACCAACCCGCGCCCCCCTGCCTTCCCCAGTGCTTTGTGCAGCATGTAACTGCCATTAGCCCAGATCAGACATGTTATTCTATATTGTTCTTTATCTTTTTATCATGTAATATCGTGTAACTGTTCATATCCTCAAAGAGTGCTTTGTAAACCGTGGCAAAGAAAGGAAAAGGAATTAGAGCGCATGAGGTCATGGTGAAAATTAACGAGATTACTCAGACGCATGCTTGTTAACACTGGTCACCAGTGTGAGTCTTCTTCCTATTTCCTTTCTCACCGATTTCAGAACTTTTGATGATGTAAGTTTCTTTCTCAGGTAGACTTCAGTAGACTTTCCCAATAATTCGTTAGCTTCACGGACAAGGAAAGTCTCTGATGATCACCTTGGTCTAGTCTTTGAACTATTTCCTCCCGTAAGCTGTGTCTACAACTGCGTCTCATTCCGCTTTGGCCACACGGGCCTTCCTTCCGATTCTTGAACATTCCGCGCATTCCCCCACCTCACGGCCCTTAGGCTTGCTGTTTTTCCTTTGCCTGTAACACCTTTACCCCAAATATTCACAAGGCTTTCTCCCTTACCTCCTTCAAAGATTTGGTCAAATGGTCCTAGACCTTTGACTTAAAGTTGCAAATCTGCAAATGTCCCACCATCCCAGCCTCCTTTTTCTCCACCTGATGCATCCTCTTCTACTATGTTGTATAGTTTACCTGTTTATTTTATTTACTGTCTGTCTTCCCACGAGAGCAGGGATTTTTGTTTGGCTAGTTCAGACCAGAGACAGACCAGAACAGGGGCTGCAACATGCTAGGTGGTCAGTAACTATTTGCCCTATGCAAGCCAATGCATGCAACGAATAGTAAGGTCTGGTAGCTCCCCCCCTTTGGCTCTCTCGATGAATTGATTTGGCCCTTGCTAAGGCTCTATGCCGACGAATCCTGACAACGGGGATTGTGGCAATCTGGCCCACCACGTGCGTTTGTGAATAAAGTTTTATTGGAACACAGCCACATGCACTCACTTGCAGATGTCTGAGTTCACGCCACAAGGGTCCCGTTGAGACCAACATGGCCCAGAGAAGCCAAAACACTCGTTACCTAGCCCTCCGGAAGGCAATTTTGCCAACCTCCATTTCAGAGAAGGGAGTCCGGCCCACCCTGAGGGCTTGGGGACGGTGGCAGAGTCCAGAAGTTGCTTTTGGTCAACCCTTCCCACCGAAACTTGCAGAGTCAGCTTTTTAGCCTTGCCAAGCCACACCCCACTTCCAGAAAGCTGGGTGCACCGGGCCCAGGCGTTCTTACCTGTGCCGCGCATGCCTGGCTGCCCACAGGTGAGGAGACCCTGTGACCCTCTCCTTGCGTGCCCCCCGACGAAGAGGGAAGGAAGTAATGGCTGTTGGGGGACGGGGGCAAGCTGATGTGCTGGGGGCTTTGGACGGCCCCCAGCGGGGAGTGCTGAGGGGAGCACTGGGGGCTGAGAAACGTGGAGGGGAGGGCGTCGGGGCGGCCCGGGGCCTCGGAGGCGCAGGGAGCAGGGCCCGGTCTCTTCCCAGGTCTCGGCTGGGGCGCAAATGGACAGCTGGGGACGGCGTCCTCCTGCTTGACCGGCA